AACATAAATCACATATAGTGTGTTTCGCATTAAGTTACACAAGATCTTTTGACAATTCTTTTGACAAGACCACAAATCTAAATAGCTAAATTAGGAACCTGCATTTGAAAAGGAGAGTCTGAAAAGCATTTCACAATAAGGCTTTCTTATTCTCCGTATGCGTTCTGTTATATTAGAGCGTGCATGTGCATTAAGCCCTGCTCGGTCATGTCTGTCCACGCAGGGACGCTGAAAATTGCAAGAGCAATAAGGATTTTTAGGGGCATTATGACTGGGTTAATAAAACACAGCTGCCCCTAAAAGTCCCTCATTTTTCTTGCTGCCATTTTTCTTGCTGCCTATTGGGTCCTCTTCCTAGACTCACATTTCAACAGCATGGAGCCGGCTTTCAATCCGGCGGCTGGGTGTTGGTGAGAGCTAGACACCCTTTCCCTCACCTGGGGAAGCGCAGACATGTGGCTGCTGTATCGCTTCCTTGCTTCTGACGGCTGGAAACGAGCGAGACCCTGTTTGTCAGCTGTCCAACAAGTGAAAAGTTTAAATTAAGAAGAGAGTGAGGGGAATTTTAGCCTCCCTCCTCCCCTCAAGCGTGCATGCCAGGGGTTTATAAATTGCCCTTATAACAAAAGGGGTTTGCTTTGGGATTTAAGTGGTTAGCTGAGAGAGGTGAATGAGTTCAGTGCATTTCGGAGCGGGATTCTTTCCTATTCGGATTGGTATTTCTGTGTTTATACATGCACTACAAACATGCCCATTACACAGCGTGAGGGTCCTTTCAATATTACCATCCTGAGCTACAGAAATGTTTGTGAAATGATAGGAAATACTCAATTCTAATTCCAGCTTGATAGGCCTAAGTGTGCAAGTTCAACAAATCACACTAAAATAGATAACAATGTGCTCAGTCAGAAATGAGCCGCAATTTAAAATATATGATCTTTAATAAGTTCTAAACTTCTAACAGTGGGATATTGCATAGAGAATCCTTGACGGAACGCCTTGAGCAAACTACTTTGGATAATTATTTTACTAAGTTATGTAAAATACTGTATTGCAATTAGTATTCCATTACTTATAAGCAAAACTTACAAGCAAAACTGAGTTCCTTCTCATTCTAATGTTTCCCACCTACAGAACAGCTAAATATTTTTTATTATTATTTATGTGCGTATTATAATATATCCATTCAGACAGAAATAAGTGAGGATGATTACATGAGCCAGAAACTGGGACTTTGTAGGCCAGTTGAGAGTAAATGTAACTACTCACCTTGCCCGCAAAGACCCAACCTCTAACACATTGTCTTTAACCCCAAATATACAACATTTATTATTATACATTCATTGTTGTGTTTATTTTATAATGAATAACCCTAAAACTACGCAATTTCACTAAATTGTACTTTAATATACTTTATTTGGCCTGTTTCATTCCTACATAGAATATATTAACATCAAGCCAAATAACATAAATCAAAAATTACCCAAAAAACACCTAAATAAATACTTCAGCAGGAATGTAGACGCACATATTGATGTATTTTCTTATCAACAACTAGCAACAATAGATTAATTTACCTCTGCTTGACTTCCATTGCTTGAGAGCTGAATCAACCCAGCTTGTGTTTGATTTGCGTCCACTGTTTTGACTGTAGAAAAGTTTGTCGATCTTACGGTCCAATTCTGGTTCCGATTGCTGTCACAGGAATGGAATAAAGGTGCAGTCTTCGCTAAAGCCTGCGTGTAAATTTCTTCCGAGAAGATATGCGAGTTTATTTTTTCTCGGATGCGCCCAAATGTATTCAAGTTAACTCGTCGGGAGCCTAGTCATGCCTGTCACCGCCGCCGTCTTAAAGGATTTACCTGGACTCTGCACACACTCGCGTGCCATGAGACAGCCGCAGCAGCAGCAGCGCGCGGAGCTCATCTCTCGCGCAGTCCTCACGCAGGCCCTCCCCAAAATGGCATTCTAGGTAGCACATGCATTTATGAATGTGTCACACTCACCTACTTGTCTTTGGTTTAGGGCACAGCAGCTAGAAAGTGTATTGCTGGGTGCGCATGTATATACCTAGGTGGATGCTGCACACTGGTGGTGGATGAGGAGATACCCCCTGACAATGTAAAGCGCTTCGAGTGCCTAGAAAAGCGCTATATAAATGTAATGAATTATTATTATTAGTAAATGCGAAATGTCTGCGTGCTGTCGGGAGTCATCCAGTTCATTTCTTTAATGTGGCAAACATATTAAAGTCCCACAGAAAAACAGCAGTTGTGTTGTTTGATTCGAACCTTTACGGTTTTATAATGTTGAGTCGTAGAATATTTATTCACTGGCATAGTTTATTAGCTGCGCACTGTGGCCGTTGTATAACCTAGATATGTTTTAATTTGGTGCGCCAGCGTCATCTTGTGGATACATGCGTAATACACACCGATTTACATTCTTATATTCTTATATTTATATTTAAACTTTCCCAATTAAATATTTTGCTCTCCTCAATAAAACAATACTAAAATAACAAAACCTTTCATTCATTCACTTTTGAACGCCAATGCCAGCATCAGGGCTATTTTTATGGGGATCTGAGAATAAATTACACAATTAACAAAAAGTTATAAAAGATATTTCAAATCTACACTAGACAAAAATTCTAAAATACGTTCAGGTGACACATTTTAAAATAAATCAGTTAAACACACCTCTGAATAAAACCGTTGTCTATTTACATTAAAAACAGTAGGCCTACAATCTAATAAAATATCCTTTACAGTCATTTTTGTTTGGCAAGTAAGGCATGATGGTGGTTATTCATCTTTTAATAAATATCCATGTGAATGTCTTGTATGACCTAAAAGACACCTTGTAAAAACAACTTCATACCTAGATTTAAAATGAGTAAAAAAATATTTTTCTTACACTATTTATTTCATATAGCTTATTATATTATAGCATATTATATAAGAGTTTATCACAGGTTTGACATCACAGAAAGGAATCTGACACTGAAATATTCAGGTTGAGTGCTTCTTTTGCAGTGATATCTGTTTTCTCGTTGCCAGAATAACCCATATGACCTGGAACCCAGCAGAAGAAAGTACTGAAGTTTCTCTTGTGTAAACAGCCTGCTTTGGCTAAAATTTTTATAATTATGGGATGATCAATCTTTACACTTTCAAGTGCTTGAAGGCAGGATTTTGCATGAAAATTAAAAGATGTTGTTCTTGTCCATTTAATATATTTTCCAAAGACAGTAGCAGAGCATGAGCTTCAGCTGAGGATAGAACTCTGTCCTGAGATTCGTACACCACGACATTGGTCTCCAGTTATTGCTGCTGCCGATACTTGAGTATCTGCTTTGGATCCATCTGTGAACACAGGCCTATGATGAGGAAAACTGCTGCTTAACTCCAAAAATGTCTGCCGATATTCATGAGGGTGTGTTGTTTTCTAAAAATGTTACTAAAATAACACAAGTGTACATAGTTATACATAGTATTCAGTCCGGCATTTCAAACTTACACAGAGTGCATGTATAGACAGACTGCAGTGTTCAGGTTATACCATAGATATATTAAATTGGATTAAAGTCTGTGCTCTGGCTAGGTCCCTGATGCCAACAAGCTTTCTGTTTTCTCCTGATAAAATGAAACCTGCTCGTGTAATCATTACAAGAAACAAGAGTATTTGTATGCGCTTTCGTTTGTTTGTTTATTTAAAGAGCTTTTCTGCAAAATCATGCTTCTTCCATTGACCGAGGCACGGACGGGGTTCGAACCCGCGATCTTCGGTTTACGAGACCGACGCCTTACCACTTGGCCACCGCGCCCAATGGCCAACACGGCGTAAACACGGCGATTTAACAATTGTTTGTTAACCGTTTATTAAGTCTCTCGCGAGTCCATGCCTCTTTTTTAAACATATTATAGAAGCGATCAAACGCGCCAAGTGTTTTTATTCCCTCTGCTAATTTGGACACATCCGGTAGACGTTGGCCCAGAGGTTTCCCGGATGTGTAGCAATTCAAATCACAACAAATCAAATTAAAAGTGCAACAGATGCATCTCCCACATGACACAATAAACGTTCGCAAAATGCGTGTCATCATTGGTACTTTTTAAAGTACAGATCCAGCGAGCAAGAATATTTCCCGAGTCTTTGTATCTGTATTGTATGCGTCTCCCATTATTTTATAATAACCGTGAGCACGAGGCACCAATAATACTGTTATCTCTCCATAGTATTTCACTAATAGCCCGAAACATACATCGGTCTATTTGAACTACGCGTTAAATAGTCATCAAAGGTAGACGGACATGATGCAATAAATATTCGTTGTAACGTTAGATTCCCTCAATTTTATTGGTTTTCATAACCTGTTACCGCATAATCAAGTGATGGGAGTCTCCAGTGAAATAAACATCTGTAACAGTTAACACTTTTTATGGGGAAGAAAACATAAATTATATTATGTAATATAATGATAATATGTTTGGTTTCGATAATGAATAATGGTTTGGCATTCACTATCAAATTTCAAAAGATAGTCTATGTCAGTCCACACAATTGAGTTAAACGTTTGATCAGATTAAAAAGGAAAGTCATGAACTGTAATGAGAAGCACAGCGTTTCAAAATCGTTTTCTAAAGCAATGCATGATTGTTCCACTTGTTTGATTCAGTCACGAATTAATGGACGTTTATTAAAGTGAACTACATGATTACAAAAACATTTAGGTAATATTAAAAAAAATAAATATAACGATAGGCCCTAAACAAACTACTAAGTTTATTTTGTCTAATTTAAAATAATGACAATCAGCAAACAAAACGTCTGATAACTTTTTTTCAAAAACAACGTAAATAGTATGTCTACAGATAAATATGTCATACAGCTAGGGGCTCGGCATTTATTTCACACACCCTGAGCTTTTTCTCGCCACAGTGTCTATTTAAAAAAAAAACTAATGTCCCGCGAAAATATAATAAGCGAAATGGAAGCTCTCTGCGCACTCTCTACCAAACTTGAATGCAATGTCCAAACTCGAGGTTTTATCAGCTGTGTGGAATACATTCAAGACGGAGGGCGGGTAATATTCACAGCACTTTCGACTTGAGGCTGTTTCTCATAGGGCACAAAGCTTCTGGGCTTACTCTTATATTCTTGATAAATAAACAGCGGGGATACTCTCGTAAACGGACCGCTAATCTTCACGCATACTTTCTGCCGCGGTGTTTTTTTTGTGTGTGTGTGTTGTAGTCAAGCTCTCAGTATCGCGTGGAATCCACATTACATATGATCCGATAAGAGTTCGCGACGCGCTCGGTTCTTCACGCGGGTGAGACGTCGTTGCGTTCTTTCTACGTCTTCACGTAACTTCACGTTACATTTGTGTTGTCGCGAATTCCATCCGGTCTGTAAAACAAACTGAAGTGCCGGCGCGTTTATGTTAACTGTTACTTTGTTGAGGGGGCGAACCGGTCTCGGCTGCTCTCCCTTTGTTTGGGCCCAGGACTCGGCTGAATCCACTGGAGCTCCGTCTCAAACGTCTCATTCGACCGCCAACGCTATTTTAGGATGGCTCCACAAAAGCACGGATCTGGTGGAAACGGTTTTTATGCCAACAGCGGCGCGAGCAAAGCGGCTAATGGAGGAGCGCACGTATCGTCCGGTGTTGTGATGACTTCAGTCAAGCGACCCAAGATGGAGCAGGTCCAAACCGACCACGAACTCTTCCTGCAAGCCTTCGAGAGTAAGTTGCTTGTGAATCCAGCTTTATAAATAAATTGCTGTTTTTCGCATGCTTAACAGTATCCGATTGCTTTACCACCCATGGTCTTAGCTTGAGGGCTAAACAACAATACTAGCCCAGAAATTGTGTCCAGTAGTTCGCTAAATGCTTTAAAAAGCCAGATAATTCACGTTGAAAGACGTTATGTCGTGGTTTGATCACAACAGAGGGATTTAGACACGTATTAGTTGTCTAGGCCACATCCTATATGAAAACTAGACACGTGCATCAAGAGATGGCACGTGCTTTATGGTGCTTTTATGTATTTTAAAATGACATTGGGGACTTACTGTCATAAAAGAGCAATGGGCAAAAGTCATGAACAACACAGAACCCTTGAAAACATCACTTGCAGTTTCTCTACACTAGCTAAGACTTGCCAAACTGCCACCTTGATTCTTGTGTAAGAGTGACATTTGTACAAAAAAATAGGGTTAATTTTGTAGATGCTGGCGTGAAAAAAATGTGGTAGTTTCTTTGGTTATTTACATGGCATGAGTCCAAGTCTGGCAACATCGGTGTACATGATACCTCTGCATTTCTGTTCACAGAACCAACTCAAATATACCGTTTTCTTCGCACAAGGAATATTATAGCAGTAAGTAGACCATAATCATGACGGAATGACATGCCATTCTCATTTAGACGTGAACTTTTGTGGAAACCTGGTGAGCTAACTGTACATGGCTGCCATAACAATAGACTTGACTGGTTGATCTTTTCTTTTTTTCTGTTCTTTTAGCCAATCTTCCTGCACAGATCTCTTACATATATGTCCCACAGAAACTCAAGAACAAATTCAAAAAGGTAAAACGATTGCATGCACCTTGTCTTAATCTCTTTGTTTGTCAAAAAGCCACACCTTCCATTTCCTTGTGCAGGCCTCATAGTGAGAAAATTAGCATGTTGACAAATACACTGCAACTGACTGGTGTACTTAAGTTGTAGTTGGATAAATTGAAGGAGAGTTTCACATCTCAATGATTTATCGAACGTTTGTTGGCATCTGTTATTTCAGAAAATGCTTTAGCGTGAATGACCTGCTATTCAAAGCAGAGAAGTCGAAAGTGGATCAGGAATCTCACAAGTAAGATGTTCTTGATCTAGATTTATTTCGCTCGCTCATTTTCTGAACATGACTGCAGAAGTTTTAACTCCAGTTTTGCCTTGCAGCATGGCGTCAAACCTGCAGCTCACTTTTACTGGATTCTTTCATAAAACTGGTAAGCTAACATTAGATTTATGTACACTCTTGTTAGCGTGCACAAATAATGTTCTCTGATCGCTTAGTGATTCTTTGTTGTTCAATGTATCAGAGAAGCCGTTGCAGAACTCAGAGAATGAAGAAAACTCTGTGTCTGTGGAAGTGCTACTTGTCAAGGTCTGCCACAAGAAGAGAAAGGTAAAAACGTTGTCATAAAAATTCATAGCGAAAATATCTCATGCTGATGATACATAGGGCAACGTTTTGAGCAATTTTGCTTGAGCACTTTCCCATTGAGAAGAGATGATACATTTCTATCTGGATATTTTAGATTGGTCGTGGGCCCTGTGTCTCACCTGGTTGCCCGTTGACAGCAACATTGCTCAAAAAGTTGCCCCGTGTATCATCAGCCTTACATTGACCCTTTTCCCCCACAAAACAAGCTTCCGCAATCAAAAAACCTTGTCCTTGTCTTGATACAGTATACGTGGCCATATCTGTCTGTACTGTAGGTTAATTTTTAATTAGTGTTTATGCTTGCCAACTTGCACAACTAAAAACTCAATGAAATCGCTTGACAAGCACAGTTTTGAGTCTTGTGTTGACATGTCTGTTTTAAGAGCATTTGATTGGACTTAATTCAGCATAGTGCAGCATTTTCAAGATTTATCAGTCAAGATTTTTGGTCCCAGAAGAGAAAAGGTGCAGTCACATATACTGTTCAACAAATTTTCATGGGCAAAATCCAGTCATTTCTATAGGAATCCATGCAAACTGAGAGATTTCCCCACATAGATTTTGCAGTGGGTTTAAGTTGATCACACACATTCACCACACTGAAGCTGCTTGGTTTGAAGCTCTGCGCTATAGACAATAGACAAGGACCTTTTTTAGCCCCCAAATTTACAGAGATTTCACTAATGTGACTACCTAAGGGCTAAAAATGTTCAATTTGTAAACATCAGTCAACTTTTAGTAGTACACTACAATATATATATGGCTTCTAAGCTAACAGGTGCTTTGAACTCATGTTTCATTTCTGTTTTTCTAGGATGTAAGTTGTCCAGTAAAGCAAGTGCCTACAGGTAAAAAGCAGGTGCCTCTGAACCCAGACAGCAGTCAGATCAAGCTGGGAGCTTTCCCCACACTGATCGTGCCCAGCCAAGAGTTTGAACCCAGTAACGGCCACATGGTGAAGTCCTACTCCCTTCTGTTCCGAGTGTCTCGTCCAGGGGGGAGAGAGCACAACGGCGTGACCACCAGAGATACCAGTATGAGCTTCAGAGATTTTAAAATAGCTTATGATAGTCTAGCACCTCAAAGCGAGTTTCGCAGTTTGATGAGGCCTTTTTACCAAGAAGTTGTTTTCTTCTCAGATGTTATGGAAGAGCTGTCTAACAGGAAGAAGAGATACTGCTCTAATCAGGATGATGGAGAAACTATATTTGTGGCGCAAATGACAGTTTTTGATAAAAATAGGTAAATGTTCTATGTTAAATTGCTTGTTCTTGTAGTGTTCAGTTGCTTTTTGTTTGCTTGCCTGGTTTAAGACTGTGATTTTTGTGTTCTTTCAACAGACGCCTCCAGCTTTTGGATGGTGAGTATGAAGTCTCCATGCAGGAGATAGAGGAGAGTCCTGTAGGCAAGAAAAGGGCAACGTGGGAAACCATACTAGATGGGAAGGTCAGTTGCAGGCCTTGTGTTTTATTTATTTTATTTATTTATTTAGTCATTTAAGTAATGAATTTAGGTAAATTGGTGCAGAGCCAGTGGTGGTTTTGTAGGCAAACATTAATGCCTTGAATTTAATGCAAGCAGTTACTGGTAGCCAGTGCAAATTGATGTGACATGCGTTCTTTTCGGCTCATTAAAAATGAATCTTGCAGCGGCATTTTGGATTAATTGTAGAGGTTTATCATCAATCACAACTCCAAGGTTTCTAGCTGTTTTTGAAGGAGTTATGGTTGATGAACCTAACTGGATGGTGAAATTTTGATAAAGTGATGGGTTTGTTGAAACCACAAGCAGTTCTGTCTTCGCCAGGTTGAGTTGAAGGTGATGGTCCGTCATCCAACAAAAATGTCTGTTAGACATGCTGAGATGCGAGCAGCTATTTTCGGATCATCAGGATGGAATGAGAGGTAGAGTTGAGTGTCATCAGCATAGCAGTGATATGAAAAGCCATGTTTCTG